TGTGTGTGTGTGTGTGTGTGTGTGTGTGTGTGAGAAATATGTATGTATGTATGTATGTATGTAATGTTTCTGGGTCAGTACAGATTAAGTTACATCAACATCATTTCACTGTCTGAATCTGACAATCCAAAAAAGCAAAAATTTAAAGTATAGTATCACACTTACAATGGATATGTAAAGTTATATCCAGTCTTTCAACATAGAAAAGTAGTTCCACTTAATAAAAGACACTTTAGGTATGCATAAAACTAAAATACTGTGAAGTTTTACTAAAAAAAAGAATGTAAATGCTTTAACACAAATCTAATCTTAATATTTATGCATTTAAACCCTCTGGAATTCTGGCCTGGTTTACTTTCTTGTAAGTGTGTTACTGTAACCTGCAATTTTTGAGACACGAGTCAAAATTAATTTCTGTGGTGATCATTGTTACTAGCAGCAGCATTTGCAGCATAAATCTTAACCCAGAATGTTCTTCTAATCTTAGTGCCAATTTTCTTTTCTTTGTTGTTTGTAATATTGCTCTTATAGTATGACTGTAGCTGCACAATGTTTTTCAGGCTCTTTAAATGCACGGGGCAGCAGTATGGATGATCGCTCTCCAGAGAATCAGTCCGGTTCATCAGTGGTAGTGGTGGATAGCTTCCCTGAGGTGGACAAAACTGTGCTGGTGGATCGCATCGTGCGGTTGCAGAAAGCACACGCTCGTAAGAACGAGAAGATAGAATTCATGGAGGACCACATTAAGCAGTTGGTGGAGGAGATCAGGAAAAAGACAAAGTGAGTGAGAGCAAAGACAGAGTGGAAGGTAAAAGACGATGGAGAAAAGCTCCTTTTCTCCCATCCCAAAGCTTAATTTGACATTTACAAATGAGCTTGAAGCTGCCTACGTGACGTTGCTATATATATTCTTATGTACCCAAAGTTGTGATGAAGGACACCAAATAGAAGCCATGAGTTTAATTGAAAATTAATAATGTAGAGGGATACAGTGGCACCAGAAAGCATTTGGGCACTTATGCTACACTGAAAAATGTATGAATGTCTAATAAAATATCAAAATGTGGCATTATTTTTAAATGAATATAGCACAAATTTGCCCTCACAAAAATACAGGAATAGCCAAACCCATTAATTAAAACACAAGTTTGGCATGTAGTTTAATATTTAACACTGTTATATTCAAGCAATTTTAAGTGTCCAAACATTTCTGTTGCCACTATAGAGTAGCTCTGAGCTCATTGTTTGGATAATTTCTCAGTGCCGAGAGAGGTCCTTTCCGTCTGGTTGCATTTGGCAGGTCATTGTCCTTCTCTTGCATCCTCTCTTTCTCTTATTTTTCTTTTTCTTCCGGACCAAGGCTTGTATCTTGTCTGACTTTCATTACAAAAGGAAATCTGGCAGACATTCATCTTTTTCTTTCTCTCACACACACACACACACACACACACACACTGAGTGTGTGACAGAGAGGTCTTGGCAGTGATATTTCTTGCGGGATTGATGCGTCACCGAGATTGCTAATGATGCCTGATACATATTCATACGCACCTTCATACACGAGGAATCAGGCTGCCTATGCCCATTTCACCACAGGAAAAAAAGCATCTTTTTGCTAAACAAAGTGAATGGTCTTAGAGAACGAGAGCACTTTGTTTATGTCTTTGGATAAGATAAATAATTTAACATGCTGCAGAGGGCTGTGAGTTGGGTTGCCGCCACCGCTCTGGACA